CCCCAAAACCCCAAAACCCCAAAACCCCAAAACCCCTCATTTTTCTAAAATTTCTTTAATAAAAATGGAGATTTTAATATCAGAGCCAGCAGAACATTGCAGCAGATGTCTAACGATAGTCAGGAAGATGGACAGCTGCCCGAGGATTGCTCTTACAGAGATAGGAGAGGACCCAGCTGGAGCTTTACTGAATCTTGTATTTATGTTTGCCTCCATGTTTCCATTCATTGCTGTTTTAGTCATCGTGGTCATCGCATTTAAGAATCACCTGGCAGAGAGACTTTTCATACCGCTGGGCATCATCTCTGTAAGTGATCAATCTTCAATGTCAAAGAGAAGCTATCTGCTCAATTGATAGTCTGGGAATTTTTCATTTTTAAGTAGGTTCAGGGCTGAAAATCTGTCAAAAATCAGCTTAGATGTTGATTTTGGCTATAATTTTAAACAACTTCGAAATCAAGAATGTTCATTACGAGCTTAGTTTATATAAGAATTCTTATAAAATATAGGTATTATTTTGCGAAATAGTGCTCAAATATACAATAAAGCAGAATAGGCCAGAAGGAGCCTGATCTAAGAGCTATGGGATGCCTTCAGGTAAGCCAAGAGCTAAACGTATCAGGCCACAGTAGTTTCTCAGTCTGCTTTATTATATGGTCAGCATATGCGTATTATATGAATCTCAAGAAGGCTTGGCTACCTATATTTTTCCTGGTCGCTGGTATCATAGTAATCATCAGTAGAGTGTACCTAGGATACCACACTCTGCTTCAAGTCTCCATGGGTTCTACAGTTGGGCTATTTCTAAGTACAACTTATTTCTACATGATTCATTATAAGACGAAGTTGATGAAGAGATCTCGAGAGATGTAAGCTGCTATCTAATTATTTAGCCATCTTGAAGAAGGAATCAGTCTAGTAAAAGAATCAGAAATCGATAACTATCACCTCTTGTCCAATGAAGCAGGTTATGAAATGAAAAAGGTAATTGATTTTGATTGGTGGCAATGACCTGTATAGTTCCTGTAGAGCATTCAAATAGAGTTGATAGTACATTTACCAATTTCAACCAAAGACAACGCATTTGGGGTTTTGGGGTTTTGGGGTTTTGGGGTTTTGGGG